TCACTGTACTCACCTGTAAACCCCCACCCTGGATTAAAGTCCTCTCCTCCAGCCGCCCTATGTGCCCATATGGCTGACCAGAGAGATCACAGCCATGCCCAATGGCCTGTGTCCCAGGGTTCTCAATCCAGCACCATGATGCTTCTTTGCTGGGGCAGCTCTCCTGTGCACTGGGGGTTACAGAGCAGCATCCCTGGCCTCCACCCACCAGATACCAGTGGCACCCTCATCATCTATCACTTCAAGGTTCGACAAAATAAAAAGGTCTTCAGATATTGCTAAAGTCCCCAAAGTGGGACTTTTCAAGGTTGGTTTGAACCACAGGGTCGGCAGTTCAAATCACCAGCCACTCCTCAGAAACCCTATATGGGGTTGCTGTGAGTCAGAACCAACAGAACAGCATTAACAACATAAGAAGATGTTGCCCACATCTCTATCGCTACACAAGATTGTTCTCTGAACTCTATTTCTAATAACCTATCTGGCTCCACTTAGGCGTTAATTGTTGTCCTCTAGTGCTGTTGAGTTGAGTCTAGCTCATACTGACCCTGTATAGGGTTTCCAAAGTGGCTGATGGGTTTGAACCACTGACCTTCAGTTAGCAGTCCAGTGCCTATGCTACAGTGCCACACCAGAGTTCAAGTGAGTTAGTTAAGCATCTCAAATTGGACCCAGACAAAGCCAAACTCCTGAAGTCTTCACCATAATAACTGACAACTCATCTTCGTAGTTGCTCAGGTCCAAAATTACTCCTCCTTCACGCTTCTCTTTTCCTCACACCTTACATTAGCACTTCCTGTTGGCTCTCCCTTCAAATAGATCAGGCTCCATCTCTTCTCACCTGGATGACCTCAATAGTTTTTAACTACTTAAGTGACTTCTCTTGACTTCCATCAGTAGTAACACAACTGGCAAAAGCTCCTTTTTAAAGAGGAGACAAGCTCATGCCACATCTCAACTCAAACCTCTCAAGAGTAAAAGCTGGAGCCCGTTATGATGGCCCGTTATGAGGGTACATGGGATCTGGCTGCCGGAGGCTGCTGCCCGCCCCGCCCCCACTCTCCAACTACAGTGGACCCTGAGAGCCAGGAGGGCTGCCTTACTTTCCCAAGTTCCCTGCCTTTGACAGGCTGCAGTCTTAGTACTTTTCGATTTCCCAAGTTCCCTGCCTTTGACAGGCTGCAGTCTTAGTACTTTTCGATCGCTATTTATTGTTGTTAAGTGCCGTCGAGTCATTTCCAGCTCACAGCAACCCTGTGTAAGTAAGGTGTACAAGGAGGAGCAGCAGGCACGTTTGAACCACCAACCTTGAGGTTCAAACTAAGTTTGTGGTCCAGTGCTTACCCTACAGCGCCACATCAGGACTCCAGCTCCTTATGCTACTGGGCAAATGACAGTGTGACTGTTTGCATGCTTGCCTTCCAAGGTAGACTGAAGACTACCTGTGGGGAAGACGTTTTTACATTTGTATTGTCAGCAGCTGGAATGGTTCACAGCAGCTGTTAAGGGCACTTGCTTGGAGGTGGTAATAATACTGGGAGGCACAATGACGACCCTGGACGTGGACGACGACCCCAAGACCCTGGACCCTGAACGTGGACGACGACCCTGGACCCTGAACGTGGACGACGACCCCGGACCCTGGACGATTTCCAGCAAGGCCTCGGGTTGCGATGATGTGCTCCGTAGCCTAGGGATGATCATCCACTAGTCACTTTACAAGTGTTCAGTGAGCACCTATTTTGTGTCAGGACATTCTCACGACTTTGCTCCTTGTTATCTCCAGTTAAAAGAGACACTGTTGAGGCTGCATTGATACCAGCTCATGCAAATGGCCAGCGGGGTCTCACTGGTTCTGACTCTGGAGAGTGACGGGCAAGCATCGCGGGAAGTTGGGCTCGCGAGGACCAAAACCTAAGTGGCCCTCACCTGAAGTTGCTCCGGCTCAGAGATGCCGCCTTCTCCTCAACTTCCTTCTTCACCGCCTCCTCCTGCAGCTGCTGGACGTCTGTGTGGATAGTCACGGCCGGCACCCTGCAGGGAAGGAGAGTTCGGTGAGGTCAGGCCGAACGGCCACAGGAGCCCAGGTGGCTCTTAGATACAAGGTGGGATGAGCTCGGAGGGGCAGTCAGTCTCACCCGGTAATCGGAGCGCAAACCCAGGACCGGCAGAGCCGTGACCCTGCTCGCCGTACCACCTGCATGGCTTGATTTGACCCCAGCTAGTTCCCGTCCGCGGAACCTGGTGTAATTGAAGTGGCGCCAGCACCAAGAGTGCTTGTGGGGGAGACAGACGAGGTATAGTCTTACAATTCTTATTTTTAAGGCCAATTTAAGGGATTTATCAAAGCCAAATGGTTTAATAACTATTATTTTGGTTTGAACTGAGAATTTTTTCTTGTTTCTAATGTGGTTAAGATGACAAGATCTCCGTCCACCCCTCTTTTTGGAATGGTTTATTCCAATAGCGAGTTGAGCGTTCTCCCGCTGTCTTGTGGGAGCGTGGGGTTGGCTGAGGACACAGCCGCGGCTCGCGGTGCATTGTGGGGAGAGTGGAAAGATGGCGGCGCCCTTAAGGCGATCTCTGTTTGGAGTGGCGCGGGGCCGGTGGCGATTAGAAGGGCACTCGACGGGTACCCTGAGTGTTCGCAGCTTGGCCCTTGAGGCCGCACCCGCTCACAGTGGGTCTCCATGGCGGTTGTTGGGCGCTTTGTGCCTGCAGCGGCCACCACTAGTCTCGAAGCCGCTGACCCCGTTGCAGGAGGATATGGCGGCGCTGCTAAAGCAGGTACGACGGAGATGCGGTGTGCGACTGCAAGGTGACGTGAGGAAGCAGTACAGTCAGATGTGGGTTCGATCCTAACTCCGGCCCCAGTTAGTCTGTGACCACTGGGAAGTCACTTCATCCTTCTGCTCTGTACTGTCAAGTCGATTTCGACTCAAAACTGTCCAGAGTAGAATGAGCTCGTAGAGTTTCCTGGGCTACATGCAGGGTCGTGATGGGTCGGCACTGACTTGACGGCGCTTAACAACAAGAAGAATCTTTAGAGAAGCAAATCTCTAGGTTTTTTCTCCTATGGAGCGGCTGGTGGTTACCTACCACATGTTTAGGTTAGCATGGGAGCGTAAGCACTGGACTACCAGGGCTGCTTCAACTGGAATGTATTGTCTGTAAAGGGGGAGCTACGAGTAAAGCGTTACTAAAGCTAATACAGAAACCGCTGCAAGCATATACTGACAGAACTTCCAGAGGTTGTCTGAAAGCAGAGACTATCAGAAAGATGTTTACCTGCGCTTTATTGACTACGCAAAGGCTTTGGATTGTGTGGATCGTGACAAGCTATGGACAACATTGCGAAGTATGAGTATTCCAGAACACTTAATTGTGTTCATGAGGAATCTGTACCTGGACCAAGAGGCAGTTGTTGGAACAGAATGTGGGAACACTGAATGGTTTAAAATTAAGAAAGGTGTGTGACACGGTTGTATTCTTTCACCATACTTATTCAACCTGTATGCTGAGCAAATATTCGAGAAGCTGGGTTTTATGAAGAAAAACGTGGCATCAGGATTGGAGGAAGACTCATTAACAACCTGAGATATGCAGATGATACAACCTTGATCGCTGAAAGTGAAGAGGAATTACAGTATTTATTGATGAAGATCAAAGAGCACAGCCTTCAGTATGGATTACATCTCAGTGTCAAGAAAACAAAAATCCTCACCACTGGACCAATAAACAACATTCTTATAAATGGAAAAAAGATTGAAGTTGTCAAGGACTTCATTCTTCTTGGATCAGCTATCAACACTCATGGGAGCAGCAGTCAAGAGATCAAATGACGTATTGCATTAGGAAAATCTTCACAAGACCTTTTTAAAGTGTTGAAGAGCAAAGATGTCAGCTTGAAGACTAAGATGTACCTGACCCAAGCCATGGTGTTTTCGATAACTTCATATGCATGTGAAAGCTGAACAGTGAATAAGGAAGACCAGAGAAGAATCGATGCATTTGAGTTACAGTGTTGGAGAAGAATATTAAAAGCACCACAGACTGCCATAGAACCAATCTGCCTTAGAAGAAGTGCAGTCAGGTTACTCCTTAGAAGCCAGATGGCAAAACTTCTCTCATACTTTGGACATATTGTCAGGAGGGACCAGTCGCTGGGGAAGGATATCCTGTTTGGTAGGGTGGAGGGCCAGAGAAAAAGAGGAAGACCCCCAGCGAGATGGATTGGCAACGTGGTAACGTCAATGGACTCAAACGTGGCAACAATTGTGAGGTTGGCCCAGGATCAGGCAGTATTTCGTTCCCTTGTGCATAAGGTCACTATGAGTCAGTACTAACTCAATGGCACCTAACAACAACAACCTTTCTGAGTTGGTGTTCAACAAAAGGTAGTTCCCTTCTTTTCCTTGACTTTGTCATGTTAGACAACTCCTTGTAGATGTTCTCCTTGTTGGTTCTAGGCACTAGGAACACAGTGATGGACAGGACTGACTGCCCGTCATAGCCAGCTTGCAGTCTGGAAGGGAGAGAGTTTTTGCGATGTGCTGAGTGTTAAGAAGGAGACTGTGAGCACATCTGTAACCTGCCCTAGATAAAACCTGCCCCCTTTCCTTCAGGATTACTTATGTGAGCGACAAGGGAGGAAACATGGGCAAAGATTGGATGTAGCAGCTATGAGGATCCTAAGCCCCCAGAGATGAAGACTGAAGGGCATTAGATTTCCCCAGGGTTTGAAAAATGCTTGAGAGCTATAATCTCTTCCATGTTTTTCACTCAGTGCATTCAGTTACTCAGTCTCAGGTATCCCACCCGATCTCGTGGGAGTCCCAAACCATGCGTGGCTGCTGCTGGTGGTATGCTGTGGAGTCAGGTCCTGCATGGCTGGAAAGGCCACAGTAGTTCCTGCTCTGCAAGTAGCTGTCAAGGAAACCCACAGCTATTGAGTTGATTCTGACTTGTGGCAATCCTGCATAGGGTTTTGAAGGCCACACATCTTTAAGGAAGCAGAAAGCCTTAGCTTTCTTCCAAGAAATGGCTGGTGGGTTTGAACTGCTGACCTTGGGGTTGGTAGTCCAGTGGTTTTCCAAGAGGGCCACACGAGCTCCTTAGCTATCAAGGAATATCTTGGTATTTAAATGCGATTTGTTAAGTGCCATCGAGTTGGTTCCGACACAGCGACCCTGTATAGGGTTTCCGAGGAGCGGCTGGTGAACTTGAACTACTGATCTTGTGGTTCAAACCACTTTTGCAGTCTAGTGCATTAACCCACAGCTCCACACCAGGACGCCTTAGTGATACTTAAATTGGGGTCTGGAGAATGAGTAAGAATCTCCCAGGAGAAGAATGTGCGGGAAAACCTAGTCAGAAGCAGCAGCATCTGGAAAGTCCAGGAGGCAGGAAAGTCCGTGGGGGATGATATTCTGATTAGAGACTGACGTTGTTGCCGCAGGGAAAGTGGACAGGCAGTACTTGTTCCAGTCCTCTCTGTACTTTTGTAGTGACCTTGACCCCAATCACATCCTAACGTTCTGGCACAAAGTGCGTTTTTGTTTCTCTGCTTCTTTTCTGTATAGTGCGTGAGTGTATGTGTGGTTATGATGAGTGGTGCACGTGTGCGTGTGCCAAGTGTGCTAGAACTCTGTTTTACTTGTTCTACTTTATTTCGTTTCATTTTCCTAGATTGAGGTAGAAAAAAGCCTGTATTCAGACCACGAGCTGCGTGCTTTGGATGAAGCCCAGCGACTGGCAAAGAAGAAAGCCGACCTCTGTGATGAGGAAGATGACCAGGAGATACTGTTGGTACAGGATTTGGAAGATATGTGGGAACAGACTTTCCTGCAGTTCAAACCCGGAGCTCGCATAACAGGTCTGTACCTCCGTAGGCCAGCAAGAGGGAAGGGAAAGAGGGTTGTTCTGTTCCCAAATAAAGAACAACTTTAGCACCTGCTTTGTGTTTTAAGTAACAAATAGATTCAAACAGCAAAACTTCCAGAGGAGATAAAAATCCTTTTTCCCCTGTTACTCACATCTCTCCTAAGAAAAAAAATTTAAAGGTCTGCATTATTTTTGAGTGGGAGGCAAAGGTTTTGGGATAATCCTTTGTCTATTTAACTGTTGAACTTGGTGAATGCTATCTGAATTTAACTCCTAATTTGGGATTGAGGAAGGTTAAATTAAGCTTTTTTCCACTAGTATTCATGAGTTTTATCTAGAAGCCTTGATGTGGTGCTGTGGGTTAATGCATTGGACTGCAAGGTCGGTTCCAGCCACTCCTTGGAAACCCTCTGTAGGGTAGCTGTGGGTCAGAACCGACTTGATGGCCTTTCACAACAACAACAATAGATGAAATGGGCTTGGACCCCTTTATCCCTGCTGTACAGTGTCAACACTGAGGGAGCGGTGGGATTGGAATGAGTATGAACATCGCTTCTTTTCCCAAGGTTTACAGTGCTTCCTTGCTTCCCTTCAAAGAGAAGCTCAGCTCTTGGCTTCCTTCTCTTACCTTCTGGTTTCCAAAAATTGTGAGGTGTGCCCGTGGAAGAGCTCAGGCTCAGGGAGGTGGGTCAGGGTTGGAGTTTGAGTGTCCGGTCTGTGAGAGCAGGTGTCGGTACTGTACCTTAAAAGAAGACTGCAGAGTGCTTAAGAATCTGGCAGGTCCCAGGCTCATTGCCACCTCTGACTACCTTTTCTTTATAGAAGCTGATAAGAAGAAAGACCAAACCTCACTGCACCGGAAGCTAGACAAGAACCTCATCCTGTTGGTCAAAGAGAAGCTTGGAGACCAGGATGTTTGGATGCTTCCGCAGGCAGAGTGGCAGCCTGGAGAGACCCTCCGGGGAACCGCTGAGCGAAGCCTGGCCGCGCTCTCCGGTGAGTTCTGTCTCCCACTAAACAACACAGAACTCACTCAGATCCACAGCCAGAAACTCCAGGGATGGGAGTCAAGTGGGGTGAGGAAGTTAATGGAAATGGTTATGAAATTTTCAGCTACGAAAATCTAGATAAGGGTTTTTCCTAGGCCAAGTGAGAGTCTTCTCTTTTGTGTCACCAAAGATTTTGAATTTGGTATATTCAGAATTGATGTTTTCACCATTACCTCAGCCTGCTTCTCTTATCTTTACACGCTTGCTTTTGGCACTGTCACTTGCCTGTTCAGCCAGCTGCAAACCTTACACTTAGCCTTCACCTCATCCTCGAACCCACAGGGCCTTGTACCTGGTCTGTGGTCAGTGGTCCCTCTTTATTCCCAGCGCTTTCGCTCTGCGCCCCCCTTCACTTCTCACATGACAGCTGTTGTTGACTCAGCTCCATTTCATGGGGAACCGTGCCATCCCTGTGTTTAGCCATAGGGTTTCACTGGCTGATCTTTCAGAGTAAGATGGCCAGGCCTTTGCTTTCTGAGTCCACTGTAGCCTGGCAGCTCAGCTGAAACTGGCTCAGCCTCGTAGCAAAACCCACCTGTCACTGATGGCTGTACTTGAGGTGCAATGACCACAGTTACACCCCAATCTTCTGAATGGAAGGTGAGAATTCTACCACAAAACCCCCAGGGCCTCAATCCCTGCTCATGACTAAGGTTTCTCATCCTCCTCACTAAGGAACTTTGGGGCTATATCATTCTTTTTTGTGGAGACCTTGTCTTGTGCGTTGTAGGATGTTTCGCAGCAAAGTGCTGCACCATAGTAGGTGCTTGCTGAATGTCTGCTGAGGAGCTGGACTTGGAGTTTTTAAGAGCACAGCCACTTTACTGATCATATCAGCAGCTTAATTTCCTGCTAACCGAACAGCAGAGGCCAGTGTGTGCTCCCGGGATCCTCTCACAGGAGGGGCTATGTAGTGTGTACAAGCACAGTGGGTAGACTTCACACCTGGAGCTTTGCAGCTGTCCGTTTCCTTAGGTTACACTAGGGCCTTGCAGCTGTGTGTCTTGCCAGGATCCTTGTGTTGAGGTAGTCACGTCATATGACATTCATGCCTGGTGCTCATCTCGATGTCCTGTGTGTCATGTGGGGCCTTTCCACCTCTGGCTTACACTTTACTCCACCTAACGTCCCTACTATGAGGAAGCAGAGTAAAAAGAAATGTATCAAAAATTGTAGGATCTATTTATGCTTAACATATTCATATAAACAGAAAATCTATTGGTTCATTTGCTTATTACCAGGACCAGTTGCTATTGAATCATCTCCAACTCATGGCTCCCCCTATGTGTCCGAGTAGATCTGTCACCATAAGGTTTCCAGTGGCTGCTTTTCCAGAAGGAGATAGATAGCCAGGACTTTCCTTCTGTGGAATTTCTGAGTGGACTCGAATCACTGACCTTTCTGTTAGTAGCCAAATGTGTTAGTTCATTAAATGGCACTTTCAAGTTTTTGATAGTTACTGTCCAGTTGTAGAGAAGTGCCTGCTTATCCAAACTTCATTAAAAAAAAAGATCCCTTTGCATTTGCATTTTCCTCGTTGCCAGTGAGGGGACCACCGAGGCTTCTTAGAGTTTACTGACTGTTTACAGTCCTGCAGGAACTGCTGAGCCAGAGCCTCTGCTTGTGGGTGTCGTAGGCTGTGCTCTTTTTATTGTCTGTTCTGATTTTCAAGAGAGCTTTGTAATTTTTAATCCATTTCCCCCTAGATTATGAAAAACTAAGACCTGCTTATTGAGTTTTGGAAATGCAGAAAAATATATAAAGAAACAAGTGAATTTTCTGCTACCACCAAAGCTAGATAGCTACTACCAACATTTTGTGTTGTAGGTAAGGTGGTATTTTTTCTAGTATTGGGAAAAAACCAGACAATGGATATGGTGAAAAATAAGAAGTACTCTTTCCTTCTCAGAAACAACCACAACGGACAGTGTCTGTGGGGATCTTTGAGGCCTTTTCTATACATATGCAGTTTTATCTCCTGTTTTCTCACATCAGCAGGAATGTGTATGTACACTGTTAGGCACATTGCATGGATCCCTGATGGTGCAGTGGTTAAGTACTCAACTGCAAACTGAAAGATTGGTGGTTCAAACCCACCTAGCAGCTCCAAGGAAGAAAGCCCTGGCACTTAGCTCTGGTTGTTGTTGATGTTGGTAAGTGCCATTGAGTCAGTTCCCACTCAGCGACCCTGTATAGAGTTTCCAAGGAGCAGCTGGTAAGTTTGAACCACCATCCTTGCGGTTCAAACCAGCCTTGTGGTCCATATAACGGCCACATCCCAGCCTCTGGGACACTTCTTGGCTACATGCGGTTGCTGATGAATCAGAATCAATTCGATGCGCTTAACAACATCTATCTTGCATTTTCCTCTTGAAAGTTGCTTTAACATTTTTTCCCGTAAACAGCACATAAAGATGGAAAAATGGCTTTTCATTGTTTTAATTTGTATCAGTTGTTAATAAGATTGAGCATCTTTTAAGGTATTTTATAAACTGTTGTTATTGTCATGTGAATTTCCTTTTCATGTGCTTGCTTCACCTTTGCTTAAGGTTTGTTTTTGTGTTTTTGTCCCCTTCATTGATTTCTAAATGCTTATTAATAGCTCAGCATTGGAAGCCCCTTAAGGTATTATCCCCTCGCTGACTGGGGCCAGAGTGTTAGTCTTAGCTGTTGGCTTTGTTTTTTGACTTTTTTTTTTATGCTTCATCTTTCTTTGCAGAGAGAGTGAATATTTACATAAACAAAAAATGTGTCATTTAATATGATTTGAATTTTGGATTTTCTACATTTTCTTCTTTTTTTAATGAAAAGTGAAAAAACAGACAAAATTAGGAAACTTGAAAACCCCTGTGGCACAGAACGAGCAAACAGAATGATTTCCGCTTTCAAATCTTTGATCCACATGGTATCGATGGGGGTGCACGAGAGGGGGACCCCAGCTTGTTTTTCCCGTATAGCGAGTTCGTTCTCCAAACGGTCCTTAATGATTTTGCCATCATTTTCCCGTTTCTTTGTAATCCTGTGTTAAAAGATTGTGGATACTATATCCCTAACTTTCTTGGTCTTTTTTATGTTTGCTTTTATTTTTATTTTTACCGTATAGAAATTTTATATCATCAAATCTAAGCTGCTTGTCTGGCTTTCCCTTGTCATCCTTTTTGAAAGGTTGCCCTGGTTTTTCATCAAGAGGTGGTGACAGGGCTGAGTCTAGAACCCGGGTCTATAAACTGTGTTCCTGACTGCCAGCCTCAAAGCAGTAGCTTGGAACTTGGAGGCCCAGGGGAAGTGTTTACCTTAAGAGGGGAGAAGACTGCTTTCTGTAGTCCAATGCTCTCACCTCTCAGAGTCTGAAAGGACTCCTGAAGAGAGAGAGCCTCTATAACTTGGGGAGCCAGCGTGAATCACTGTCTGTGTGTTTTGTTTTTTCCCCTCAGAACACAACATTGAAGCCAAGTTCCTAGGAAATGCACCCTGTGGCCACTACAAGTTCAAGTTTCCCCAGTCATTGCGGACAGAGAGCAACCTGGGGGCCAAAGTGTTCTTCTTCAAAGCACTGCTACAAACTGGAGACTTTTTCCAGCCCAGGAAGAAGGGCCAACATGTGTGGGTCTCTAAGGAAGAGCTGGGTGACTATTTGAAACCAAAATACCTGGCCCAGGTCAGGAGGTTTTTTTTGGACTTCTGATGGACAGGGCTGCCTTTGGACTGTGCTCACCCACGTCAAGGATTGGGCCTCGAGGACATTTGTGCGATCACCCCATCTTTGCAAGGAATGCCAGGCAGCAAAAAAAATTTTCAGAAATCATTGTGTGGGTCTCAGTTCAAATGCCCTTGGAGGACGGCTAGGCCTCTCCCAGAGAAGAGAGAACCACTTTTTGAAATGCGTTTCTGTGTTTTTCCAAGCTGAAATGGAGTATCACATTACTGTACACGAATCACCCTGCTTACTGGGCCCAGGGAAGAGCAGAAGCCAGCAATCACCCCAAAAGTCCAAAGTTCTGTGAAAGCTTCTAGAATCTTGAAAACAAAGTTCTCTGTCATGTCTTCACCATTTTGTCTGTTTTTTCCCTTTCCTTTCAACTTGATACAAATCTAACTTTGAAATACCATCTTTTTTGAAAGCATTTGATAATTTAAAAATAACTTTTATCTGTTCATTGCTGTTGAGCTGCTTCGGACTCAGCACAGCCCTCTAGGACACAGCAGGACTGCCCTGTTGGGTTTCCACAGCTGTCTTCTGTACGGAAGCCCACTGCCACGTCTTTCTCCCAGAGTGCTTAGTGGGTTTGAACCAGCAGCCTTTCAGTTAGTAACTCAGCACTTCACCACTGTACCACCAGAGCGCCTCTGACCTGAAACAGTCTTGCATAATAATGAGCAAGGCTCAGCTTGTCCTCCCTGTCTTATAAATGGGTCATGCCTTAGCTGGGAGTCCCGATGGTGCTGGAGGAGGACCCTGGTGTGTTGTCGGGTCACCACTGGTCCCCAGTGCCAGGCAGGTACCTACTACACAGTTGCTGATTGAAAGGAGATTGAGAGTCTGCCTCTCTGCCCAGAGCAGGGCTACCCGTAGGCTGTAGTCCTGGACCCAGTCAGCTTCCCTGGGTGTCTTCTGAGGCAGCACACTTGCCTAAACAGACCGGCCTGTGTGGTGTAAGCTTGCAACAGGGAAGTCTGTCTCCGAGTAAGATGGAGTCTTGTGTTCTTAGACACCCCTCACCGCTCCCTTTCCCTCCTGCTGGTCCACTCGCTGGCACTTACTGACCAGGGAGAAGTCCCCGAGGTAAGGCTTGCTGATCACATGAACACCGGTTCCTATAGGATGTGGCCTGGACTGTAGGGAGAACAGGGACAGCCAGGAATGCGCTTTCTCTTGCTGGACTGAGGTCTGCATTTTCTCAGGGCAGCAAGAGCAGACGTCATTAGAGGTTCTCCTGAGCATCCATAAACTGCTCGGTTTGGCTGCAATACGAAAGAGCACATATGCAACATAGAAACACGTGGCTCTGGCAGACTTTTCCTAGCACATGAATGTTTTGAATTGATCAGGACAAGATTGGATACCTTCAGCAAAATCAATACAGCTGATCATTCTTTGGCTGCGCCTGCCTTTATTGGGAGTGGCTGCGTAAGTACCTTCAGGCGACTCTACGAGCTTTTCTTCTGTAAGGGGCTGGGGAGTCTCAGAAAGACATCTCTTCCCTTTGTCTTGTTTTTAAATCGATGTGTGAAGGGTTCCATCCCGGATCCCATTTCTAGTTAGGATGGAAGTCGTTTCTGTCAGGACCTGCATTTTAGGGAGCAGCCTGAGCCTCAGGATTTAAGGCAGTCTCGGGCCAGTGGAGACAGCTGTGTCCCTGTCACCATTAGCGTGCTTCTGTATTGTTAACGCTCTGGTTACAGCATTGCATAAGTTTCCATGGGCTGTCGCTACCCCATTCCCAGAAGCCCTGTTATTTTTTAGAGTGCAATTTTGCAGAACACAAGTTTTTGAGTTATGTAGAAATGGCTGTTAGCTGAGTGCCGGCCTGAATCTTCCACTGGATGACCAAAAATTATTTCTAGTACATCCTCCCGGGGAAGGTAGCCAGAGGTCAAAATGAGAGAGATGTCTCCTAGTGTTAACTGGACATGGGGAGGGGAGCCTGTGTGGTATGGGGAACAGGAATTACAGTGTGAGGTGTATATGTGCTCCCTAAGAAATACCAGTGGGTGTGACTGTTTGTATTGTGTATAACATACACTCCACCACCCAGCTTATTAGACGGGTCCTCCAGGTGTAGCCCCCTACTTGGTCATTGCCTTTTAAAGTGATTTCCAGTCATTTCAGTTTTAACCTTTGCTGGTACTACAGAGAAAATTCCATAACCTCTACCTACTTCTCTTCCGGTAACGTACTCAAGGGCCAGCTCCTACGACACCATTTCTACACTTTGTATATGCTTCCAGCACTTTCTGTGAGAGGTGGTTGTTGGTTAGTCTGGCTCCTGTACCTAACTGAACTTCTACAAGGAGGCTTCAAAAGGTTCATGGAAAAATTCATTATCTTTCAATTCCATTCTTATATAAACTTTTCAAGGGCCCCTCGTACATCCTAATGCAGAGCCTGCTTCGTGGCCACACACAACTCATGTTTGTTAGGTCGATCAGCATGTTTTCTTACAAGCACTGGACTTGAAGTCAGAAAATTTGAGTTTGGATCCGAGTTCTAGTACTGTGGGTTAAAGTACTGGACCATAAGGTCAGTGGTTGAAACCAGCCACTCGTTGGAAACCCTATACAGGGTCACTATGAGTGGGAACCGACTTGATGGCATTTAACAACAGGTAAGCTACAGCTATTACCACTATTAGCCAGCGTGGAGTACGTGATTTCCAGTGCCAGGGAGTGTGGTGAGGGTTTTACTTCAGCTTACATTATAATGCCAACCAGCAGGACCGGCATCATTATCCGTATTATATAGATGAGAAGACAAGTTTAAAGAAGTCAGCCAATTGCTTAGAGTTACTAGCTAGTAAATGGCAGGGTCAGAATTGGAACTATCTACACAAAGCTAATTGTTAACCTTTCTTAACTTTTATCCTCTGTAAAAGGAAGATGATACTATTCCCAGGTAATGTGATAATTTCTGCAAAAGTACTTAGCACCACACATGGTTTGTTGTGAACCTTTAATAAATGTATCCCGCCGTTCAGTATATTTAAGTTCCTGCATTCTGTCCCTCAGTTCAGCCGTCTTTTTAGTTTTTACAAGTCTCATTCTCACCTCTTCCAGATTATGCGCTGTGACAAACCAGCATTTCTGACCTATTTGGAAAGACACCTGGGTAATTTGGACCTTAATAGAGTCTATCCACTCATCTTAAAATGGCTGGGTGGTGGGTCAGCCCCATAACCACATCCAACTGTTTACATTGGGTTTGCCCCATTGTGTCCTGGGCCTAGAAATGCAGAGCCACTGTTTGGCACAGGATTATGGGGCACTACAAACAGAATGGACTTGCTGACCCATTCTATTACTCCAGCAGGGAAAAAAGGAGTCCAGCTGAAAGGTCAGTAAAGCAATTATTAAGAGCTCACAGGTCTCTAAGCTGCAAACACACACAGCGAGATAAAGCCCGTTAGCCTGAAAGCTCAGGGCCACCTCAGCCCCCGCCCTGCTTTGCTTTATTTCTTATAAACCTATGAAGGCTCTTTCGGAGCCAGTCACTTCAAGAGATCAGTCACTTCTCACCTGCCTTGGAATATCAGCTCTTAAAGCCCCAGGAAGCGAGAGAGGAAACTGCTCACTGTGCTGCTCACAAGAGAGGTGCCCAAAGCAGCCAGGGTGGAGAAGCTCAGGGAATCGGTCCAGACAGCTCTCGACATCGGGGCCCAGGTGGCAGGGAGGGTGTTACCAGCCAAGAGCGAGACACGTGAGCTACCCTATCCTGTTACCATGGAGTTGACCAACAGAAATGCCAGCAAAGGTAGTTTCCAAGGGTGTAATCTTTCCAGAAGCTGACTGCCATATCTTTCAGGTAGGCAATGCTGAGAAGAGGAGAAAGGACACCCGCAGTAAGAAGGCCTGTTGGGGGCACAGGGATAAGATGAGGTTTCCTAACTGGCACTAGGGGCTTATACTCATGACCACCGCAAGGTGGCAGGATTTGCCTGAAAACCCTTTCGTTGTGGACCTAGGCTGTCCCTAGCAACCTTTACCCTTTCCTGGCCTGTGGCCTTCAGAGAGGCTTTTTAAAGCTTCGGGCTCAGTGGAGTCCCCAGTACGGGCCCTTTGGGATTAAAGACCAGCTCAGAGTTGAGATTCAACCAGCCAGGATGGATGTTGGGCATTTGTGGCTCTGTCTCCTCTGCAGACAGCTCCAGGAAGAGCCACAGATAGCTGCCATCTCGTGGGGGTTGGGGAGAAAACTGGAATCCACAGACTGAGACCCACTTCCTGTCGTCCATGCTAGGCCTGCCTTCTTACATACTCTGCCTCACGTAACTCGTATGTCAACCCTGTGTGGCAATTTCCACTCTTGCCATTTTTAGGTTGGTTAGACAGTCTCCTGGTGGGGCGCTGTAGGATCACCGCTGAAATACAAACCGTAAAGTCGGCAGTTCAAACCCACCAGCTGCTCCTTGGAAACCCTATGCTGAGTCGCTATGGGTCAGAACTTAACTCGACAGCACTTAATAACAACAACAGACAAACTCAGGAAGGTCATATGGCCAGTGAATGGTAGGGCCCAGATTTGAATCAATGTTCTTTGACTCTAGAACCACCCAGTGTCCCCTGCTGCCTGGACACTTGCCTTTGTATCATAGAATTTCTATACCTGCCACTGAGGGGCAATCTGCAGGCCCAGGGACCTTGGAAGGGCCTCAGCACTGGGCAGTCTGGACTAGGAAGGAGAGTCAGAGGCCAGAGGGAATGAGGTGGGTGGGTTTGGAGAAGAGAATGGCTGCTTGAGTCTGAACTCTGAGCATGCTTGATCTTTACTGATACAAGGTGCCTTTTTCTGAATTGGCGGAAGTCAGTTTAAAACACCACCACTCCTCTGTCAGTTTGTTGTACTGTGGTGGCTTGTGTGTTGCTGGAAGCTATGACACTGGTATTTCAAAGACCAGCAAGGTCTTAGGATAGGTTTCAGTAGAGCTTCCAGACGAAGACAGACTAGGAAGAAGGGCCTGAAAATCAGCC